GCACTGAGAGAGATATTAACCTTGAAGAAAAGGCTGAGCAAAAGCAAAGAAGAAAACCCTGTACATGACCAAGGAAGAGCAGGACACTATATAGCATCCCAGAATTCCATAAAAAAGGGAATAAGGGTCCTGACAACAGAAAACCACAAAGAGCATCTAGTGCATGATCCTTTTTGCTTAGAGATATTCAATTAGCCTCTCCCTTAGACTCTTCCATATGAAGGATATCAGGAAAATAATATTGCCTTAAGGAGCTGGAAACCCATAGCTGTAACTACAAAGGGAAGGAGCAGGATGAATAAAAGCAGGACTTCAGAGAGCAGCAGAAGGACACTTTAAAGGACCCTTGAGCTGAAAGAATGGCTTCCCCAGCCTGGAAATAAGAAGATGCCTGTCCAACATCAGCTTAGAGCAGGAGCTCCTGTGCAGCACCTCTCTCATAGCACTGGGCCTGGGGAGGGAGAGGCAGGCAAGTTGGTGTCTCAGGGCCTGTCGAGCACGGGATGCGTGACCCTGTGTGTCAGCTTGAATTAAGGCAAGGAGTGCCACTGGGCCTCGCTGCCCAGCGCTCCCCTTTCTCTGGACCTGGGAAGGAGGACAAGGGCTGTGCAATAAGCCCAGCTGTCAGATTCCCTACATCATCTGCAAAGGCATCGACCCTCTCTGGGACCTTTGGGAGGGGGGAAAAAAAAAAAAAAAAAAAAGATCCAGAATGCATACTTGCAAAAACCTACTCTATTTTAGGTAATAAGATTTCATAGGGTTGCTAATGTTCAGGAATGATTCTTCCTCAGACACTGCAAATGCAAAGGGGGAGAAAAATGGTAGAATGGATCCAGTTTTGAAGAAAGAAAGCACAAAGGGACATGCCACTAAAATGGAGAAGAAAGGGGCAAATCCAGCAAAACCTCTCTCTGCCTCCCTGACATGCTGTCAGGGAGAGGTGTAGGGCCAGATTCTGTGTTTATGGAACATGAACCTAATAACTGACCAATACACAGTTTTGCTTTTCAGTTTATGTTTTGGAAACGTACTGTCTTTGAGCACATCAATCTCTAAGATTACTACTCTTGGAGTTTCAAATTTAAAGGAAACATTTCCAAAACATCAGCTCAACAGGGGAGGAGAGTTTCTCAAGTCTGCCCAGGTTTAAACGCCAGGCATACATTTCATGTTTAATATGATTCCACATATATGCTAAAATCTGTTTCTCTACAGCTTTATAAATAATTTCAGTGTGCATACTCGGTGAGTTTAATTCACTTCTTTACTGTTTTTTTAGTATCTGGCAGAATTTGAGTACAAATGCTAAATTTAATTTATTGCTATATATGATAATTCCATAAAATCCCTTTCTAAGCCAGAGTATCAGTGTCACTCTCATCTATGAAACTCCTTGCTATTGTCAGGAACCAGTGATCCATTCCAAAACACAGGCTTAATCTTCAGTCTATGAGATCACAACCTAAGGTATCAGCTATCCCTGGAATTATTCTGTACAAAGAAGGTGTAAACACTTGCATAAAAATCATGTAATCACACCCAGACTGCTGGACTGCAAAGAAGTGTAAAAATAATGGTTAACAGTGCTTCATATACGGAACTAATTTTAAAACAGCTTCAAATTAAAGAGAGAGTAGGGAATAAGAAGTGTTTTCATGAAAAATGCTGATTCAGGGCTTCATTTCCATTAAGTGTTGTACAGTGTCATTACTGGTTGGCTGTACAGAGCAGTGGCTCAGAGCAATTACCCAGTAATGCACGGTGACACTGATGTGCTAGTAAACTACTGGAGCTCACACTCTATTCATTGCTAGCATCAGGACTCTGAAAGGCAGGTAAAAAACTCCTTGCATGCATAAACAATGTGTGTAAATGTCACCAGTGATAAAATTTTTAAAAAGGAGAAGGAAGAGGCAGTTACAAATAAATCTGTCAGCTGAGAATTGTAACTGCGCAGACCCACAGGAGCACTAAAGCTGTAACTTTTTTTGATAATACAGGAAGGAAAGATGCTTCGGTATCACTACCCAGGCTCTCTTTCCATTAATTACAATTAAAACTGTATGGTGGCTGCTTCTTTTTGCCTCTCTAAGTGCAACATTGAGCTGCTCCTGGTGTTCAGCTTACTGTGAGGGGGAATGCAGAGGGGAAATGAAGAGCATCAAAGAAGCAGACAAAAGCATTAGTGGTTTATGCAAACTGTCACAATGCTGCTCTGTTTTTAGAGTTCCAGCTACAGGAATTGCGGAGGAACAACAAGAGCTTCAGGATAGGTATTTTTGACTCCTTTGTTTAAAACAGCTCCTGCCGTTATGGGATGAAGCTTGGAACAGGACCTCAGCACGTCCTAAGGTGTTAGAAAAAGCAGCCAAACAACTACAACAAAGAAAGTAAGCCTAACATACTTAGAAAAAGCCATAAAATATTATTAAAGTACTCTAATGGATTTTGGATTCTGAGCCTAGAAATGAGGCAGCAGGTAAATAAGTAAAGCTAAACATCCCACATGCCAGGGCCAGAGGACTGCCTTGCTCTTCCCCAGGAGACAGTACCAATTATTAGATTTTTAATAGCCCATAGTCACCAGCTAATAGATTGATGCCTCCAGAGCTGGCTTCCTCCCTGTCTCTCTCCTATTAAGTGACATAAGGGTATTCAAGCCCTTTTACCAATGCACAGCAGCAGTAACTTCAGCCCTTCTACCCTAAGTAGCTCCTTCTTTAAGATCTGTCAGCCAGGAGGGTGGAGGCCCTGGTGAAAGCAGTTAATGCAGCAGTTTGTGTTGGAAAAACTCCATTTTACCTTCTCTGCAAGCACTGCAACTGTTCTGCCTGACCCACTTTGCCCCGCTTCTGGTGGCATTGCCATTTATCTTGCTGAAGAAGCCATGCCCTCATGAACACCAGATCATTGGAGATTTTTGTTCGTCTTTGGCTCTTTTATCTTGCAGAAAGCAAGCCACAGTTTCTTTGGCTGCTGCTGTTCCAGCATCCTTGAGTCTTCCATAGGCTGGTCCAGACCCCAAGGCAAGGATTTACACTGACCTATTCTAAGTAAGCTCTGATTCATCAAATCAATGACAAACTAGAGCCAGAAGGTCCTGGAAGGCATAACTGTCTCTGCCTTACTGGAGTGCTCTGGTACAAAAGCAAGGTAGTAAATTTTACTACAGAACTGGAGGTTTTCAAGTGACTTAGAAGCTGATGATCTCAGATGCCTGTGTTAAATTTTAAGGTAGTTCACCCAAAGCTGTATGGAGGTTGTGGACTGCCAGGAAATTGTACTCAACCAGCCTGAATCACGGCAAGACCAGACTGGGAGAAAAGACTGTGAATCTGTCATCCTCACATCCAAGTTCCACCACCACATGGCTACACCTTGCAGAGGTGCAAGAGGAACAGTCATGGAATGATAATGCTGAGGCTGTTTCTGTGCAGCAGGACTCAACTCCTTAATTTTTTTTATTGCATCATCTAAGCAAAACACATAATCACATGTACAAAGGGAAAATACTCAGCAAACAAAATTTAAGCTCAAGTTTAAGTTCATTTAAGATCAAGTTACAGAACCTAGCCACATGGATGCTGGTGGAAAATCTCACTCAAAACTGAAGGAGACTTTCATGCCAAGAGCACTAACACTATGCTTTTATCTAGCCCTCAAAGCCCTTGGGCCATTTGGAGGAACAAGGTTTGCAGTTGTAGCTGCAATTCACCAAGACAAAGGTTTTTCTGTCTCCCAGATTATTAAAGATGCATAAAAAAGTGAGACTGAGAAGACAGCTTTCTTCATATTCCATAATGAAAGTGTGTCTATCCAGATTAATTTTGTGTTAGCACATTGTATTTTTCACTTAAGAGCAGTTAGAGAAACAAGTGTGGACACAGACACACACCAACAGCCTTACAGTATTGTGGCAGAATGGTGACAATCAGTACAAAGGTCAACCTGGTACCCTTTATGCCACTGTAGCACCCTTTGGAGAGTTGGAGAATGGAAAAACCCCCACAAATCTAAGCTATAGTGCATCTCTAAGCTATCACGTTTTGGCTGTCCTCTTCTTCCCTTTCTCTTCTTCCGCAATATTCCCTGTGTTTGATATTTGTACACATTTACAGAGTTGACCAAAAAATCCCTTCATATTCCTGTTTGATTTTAGTTTTGTTATTATCTATTCTAAGAAGAACAAGCTGGTAATTTTGGTATCATACATGAATACTGACAACTTAACTAAAAGGAGCAAAGAGAGGTGTAAGAAGTCTGCACCAGCACATATGCTTGCTCTGGGGCCAAGCTCACTTCCCCAGGCCACAAAGGCAAACACTGGGGGCTCAGCACAGCACAGCCAGGGGATGATCCTCCAGCTGGGGCAGAGAAATCAAGAGCTTACATTCATATTGCTTTATTTGTGTCATTTAAGAGAAGCCCCTATTTTAGCAGGGCTGTTCTGGACTTCCTACATACATATTGGCTACTAGCATCACTCCCAAGGACAATCAGCTCTAAAATTTGAGTCATCCTCTACAGTCATCCTCTACTGAGTCCAGAAGAAACCTCAAGCAACAGCAATGAGGACTGAATTTAGGCTTGAACCACTGCACAACGCCTTCTGTACCCTTTACTCATCTGAGGGGCAGCTGAAAACTCCCCTTCTGCATTCTGCCATCAGCTCCTTGTGCCTTTCTATTTCTGTTAGGTAGGAGAGGTGCAAGAACAGAGGGTGGGATCTAAGGTATACCGTCCCTTCAAGAGGAAACTAGTGAGGAGAGCAAGATAGCTTGTGAAGTGATGGTATGTTCAAAGCTATGTAATGGGACACATGGGACACGGCCACCTGTCATATGCCTCTCCTGTGGGAATTAATTTGCCCCTGGGAGTGTCCTTGGATGGAGGGTGATAATCTTTTCATGGAGGCTCTATGAACAAGTGAGTGACATGTACCCACGCCTACGGCTGGTTCACAATGCGCGTGAATGGAGGCTGTCTCACTGACTCACCCTTGGATGGCGGTCTCTCCAGATCCGAATCGAGGTGGATCGGTGGGGCAATGTAGGAAACCTGCCCATGGTGAGCCTGCCCTGTGGACAAATAAGTGGTTTAGTTCTGCTGTTTCCTACAGAGATCTATCAGGGCTATAATCAAATGCACAGCATTTTTATGGCACCGGATTAAAAACATGTTTTGAAGCATTTTGTTCTATTGTGCATTCTTCACAAGGAACTTCCATTTTGTGCAGACATCTGATGAAAAGCTGAAAACACTCCCATCCCTTTTGCTTTTCCTTGCAGACGTGGGTACTCTGCTGAACTTCTGCTATACCTGCTTTACCATTACCACATACATGTTGTACCATGTTCTCTTGAAAGGCCATATGCTACAGAAGATGACTGACTTCACACAAGCCCCTTCAATCTGTTCATCTCACTCCAAGAGGGAAGAAAGCATTCCTATGTCAAAGCAGTTTTTGAAGGAAGCACAGGATGAAGCACAGTTCCACCTGTTTGTCCCACCTGCAGAAGATGCGAATATCATTTTTTGGAACTCAGCATTGCTTTCACCTCAGTGGAAGCTTTTTTGGTTCCCTACACCACCATGCAGTTTCAGAGTTGCTAAGACTCAATTCTTTTCCAGCAATTTGAAGATAACTATATCGAGAAACTTCTATTTATAATAAAAACATTTTGTTACAATTCATCTATTTACTGTAACAATTTACAGGGTTGTTAATCTCTTTTTCTAAACATGGAAAGTTAATGACACATAGATTATGATAACAGTTAGGGTAACCTTCCCGTTTCAAGTAATATTCGCTCTGCAATAAAAGCAGTTGATTCCTCTTATGAGACACATTCCAAATAATTAATACAGCTCCCTGTTGACACTTGCTGTTGTTGCTCCAAGCAATTTCCAAGCTAGCGTCACAGGCAGCAGAGCAGCGATACAGTCTGCAGGCTTCTTTGTAATGACATCCAGGAATACCACAAGCACGGTATGCTGGTGCACATAATATGTTGAAAACATCTCTTCAGGGAGATAAAATATTAATGGGAAAGGGGGAGGGGAAAAACAAACAAAAAAAAGAAGTGTGTCTGAATGGGCAGGTTATATTTACTGCTTTACGCTGAGGGTGACTCAGATAATTTGCATTATTAGCCATTACAGCAACTGGACGTAATTCAGGTTTAAAATCTACTGACACATCATAAATTCTGTATTTGCTTTTAAGTGCTTTAACATGGGAAATCTGCTTCAGGCAAACCCATAGCTAATAACGAGTTACTCTGCTTTCCTCTTCTCGTTTACATGTTAAAAATCCATTTGGTGTCATTAGTGTGCACAAGTCATCATTTAAGAGCTGCTTGGTTCTGCAGCAGAAACAGGCAGACAGTCTGCACTCCCTCCAAGCTGCTCAATGTGCAGGATCAGTGCCCTTATAACCATAGAACAGTCTCCGCATTTGCTGCATCAAAGATACCACAGAAATGTTAAAGAGCTGAGGTTGGCAGGGAACTCTGGAAATCACCTAATCCATCCCAAGGGCTACAAGAGCCCATAGCAAGTGTCCAATCTCATTTTTAGTATTTCCAAGGATGGAGACTCCACAGCCTCTCTGGGCAATCTGTACCAGTGCTTGTCACTCTCACGTGAAAAAAAAAAAAAAAAAAAAGAAAAGCTTTTCCACTATCTGCCTCTAAGAAGAGCCTGGCTCCATCTTCTTTATTTCCCCTCATCACATATTTATACTCACCAGTAAGATCTCCTGGATGATCTGATCCTGGCTGGACAGTCCCAGCTCTCTCAGCCTCTCCCCACACAGAGGTGCTTCAATCCTTTAATTGCCTGTGGCCCTTTGCTGGACTGGCTCCAGTAAGTCCCTGTTTCTCTTGCACTGGGTAGCCCAGCACAGGACCCAACATTCTGATATGTCTCACCAGAGCTGAGTAGAAGGGCAGGATCACCTCCCTTGACTGCTAGCAGTGCTCTGCCTAGTGTAACTCAGGAGCCTGGTGGTCTTTTTTGCCCTATGGGCCCACTGCTAACACATGGGTTTTGGGTGGGATTTTTTTTTGCTTCTTTTGTATTTTTTTTCATCACCTGGTCTTCTTGGGACCTAATGCTAACCCAAAACCAAAAAAGAATGATTCTGTAAGCTTAAAGGGCTAGGCTAACAAAGATACATGTACAGTATATAAAAGACTACAAAACATCCGTGAGTTTGTTTAGACATTCATTACAAATCAGTAATAACTATGGAAACTTATTAATGTTTTATAAAAGCTTTTACCTTATATGGAGGAAGCAGTAGCATCAAATGCTCTCTAGTGATAAATGGAACAAGTTACAGAAAGCTTTTATCTACCTGCTGCTGATGCAAAACACAGTACTTCCAAAAAAAAAAACACAAAACCACTAACTTGACTTTGGTTATACTGTACACTTCCGACAATGCTAATAAATCAAACTTTGGGTTTTAATATTCCTTCTATGAAAAAGCAATGTGAATAATTGTTGTGATTCATATTCTGGGCACGAATGCCAGCTCAGGTGTTCTTCAGACTCATCAGAGTCTTCCCATTTGAGGAACAAAGGCTTTCCACTGCTGAGTCCCCAGTGACACATTCAGAAACAGGACACCTTATAAATCTTCTTATTAATCAACAGAATCACATTTTTGCTTTGAATTTAATGTTATTGGTAGTGGTGACCTCTGAGAGAATTGAGGGAAGGGAGGTAAGGAGAGGTGTTTGAATCAAGGCCTGGCAATGGAACTGATACACAAGCACACGGTACTCCTGGCTTTAACAGTATTACAAGTTCTGCTACTGATTCTATTAAAGACCTGTATTTTACCTAACAGACCTATGAAGGATTTTGAGACTGATAATACTGGTGTAGCTCAAGTTGATAACAAAGACTGACAGAACAAGCTTTGCCGAGTGAGGCCAACTCCCAGCCCTTTTTGAGTGAGTTTTGCACTTTCAGATGCCTACTGCAAGCCCCAGCTCTAGGACTGAATGACTCCTATCTCCTCCTCTTTAGTTCCAGCTGCTGCAGAAAAGCACTTGAAAAGTGGGAAGTGAGAGCCTTAGTTAAAAAAAAAAAAAAAGAAGAAAAAAAAAAGATGGCAGAAACACTCAACACCTGCCTCTCCAATCCTTCAGCTGTTTTTTCTGCACATTGGGTCTGAGCTGACAATGGTGCAGCACCAGTAGGTGGGACCTGGCCTCCATTACCGTCTCTCCAGCTGCCATACTTTCCTACCTTCACACACACACACCTAAAAACCCGTGACCCTATTTGTTTGACTGCTCTTTGAATTGAAGCGCTGCCCACATCCTAACTAATGCTGGCCTAGTACCTGTGCTTATTGGAGTGGAAATGCCTGGTGTCAGTTCCTTTCTGAATTTTGACAGATTCTCCAAAGAAAATTGCACCTTGTCTTCTGGTTATTAAAAAAAAAAAAAAAAAAAAAAAAAGTAGACTTCTGACAAAATACCAAAGGTCAAGATGTCTCTGTTGCTGATGGGAAGTTCATCATGCCTCGTATTATAACAGCTTGCATGGCCCTCTCCAGATCCCACCCTGCCTATAACCATCTGCTGTTTCTGCAGCCAGCTCCCAGGTAAAAAAGTAAACAGCAATCAAACATAATCATCAAAGTATCATTTGATGAAGTTGCCAATTTCGTATGTACTAGCTAAGGTTGTGCTCCATTTCCCTTGCTCCTCTTGTTGGAAACATCTGGGGACTGACGTGGCTGATGGCTGTGGCTTCCTGTGAGTGGCAGGTGCTGGACAAGGGGAGTAACAAGCAACAAGGGGTAATACTGGAAGACAACTGTGGATCAGTCCTGGTCTGCTTTTCTTGTATCATTAGGGTCTGGCCAACACTGCCTAAATATCAAAACCATCTCAGGTGAGACAGGGACAACAGTAAGTGTGACACAAGTAGCCACAAACTGCCTGTCTTCATAGCAGCCATAGGCACGTGCTGTGACAATGTGAAAAACCACATGTTTGGCAGCAACAATTTTGGGAGCAAAATATGGATATGACCTTGAAAATCTATCTGGTGACATGGCCCCCCTCAGGTAGAGGGAACAAGAAAGGTGTTTCTGAATTAGAAAAAGTGGCTTGACTGGTCATTATTTTCAGGTCTGACACATGAGAGATGCAACACATTTTAAAAAGCCCATAACTTGGAAGAACAAAGAAAATATTTTCTGAAGACTGAAAGAAACATAATAGTTTGGCCTAAGGTATTTTTTTCTTACTATTTTTTTTAAAAGGGATCTGGATGCTCACAGACAGAAAATAAACACTCACATATCTTCAAAAATCTGCCCCTAAGTGATTTAGTCATCTACAGATGCAATGATATAAAAGTACAGTAAAAAATCTGCGAATGCATGGACTAACCAAGAAAAGTTGCAACAAAGCAGTCTCACCTGTGTATCTATTAAAACCATTTCCCTCTGATCCTTTTTAGAAACACACCCACTGTTTGTAGCATCTAACAGGGCAGGCCTCCTTCCTGATCCTGTGCAAGTTACCAGTGCCGGTGACATTTGATTTTTCTAGAGCGCAACTCCTGTTGTCATGTATGTATGCACATGGGAAACCTTTCTGCCTGGCCCTTGCTCATTTTTTACCTGAGAGTTTTCCTGTACACTGTCACAGAGAAAACCTGAATAGAAAACTGAATGATTCAAAACCCCAAAAAGCAAAGACAAAGAACACCAACATTTACTAGACTAAAAATAAGACTTTTTAAAACATACGATGAGAGACCTCCTAAACATCTGATTACTTGTCTCCTAAAACTGGTGATGCCATGAAGATAACTAAGATAACTAGAATCACCAGAATGGATGGTTCTCACTTTTTGCTACTGCTCCTTTGTTCAGTGCCTATGGTACCATGATGTGTATGGACAGTTGTGCACCTGAATTGCAGTTCTGCCCCATGACTGACTCAGTTTCCTCAGCAGCAACAAGCAGCCACCAGGAGATATACTTTTTTAAACAAACACGCTTCAAAGTCTTTGTTCTCAGGGGGTGAGAGTCCCCTTTCTTTGC